TGAGGACTTTTGTTCATAGTCACTAAGAGTCGCCTACAACTTGACAACACTTAACACCACCACCACAGGTGGCCATCTAAACATTTTTATAACAAAAACATACATTTTTAAATACATCCCTGTCAAAGTGCAAACTTAAGTTGAAATTACCAACCTCAATTCAAACAAAAGCCCAACAATTAAGATGTGGCTGCTGAGCTGTCAATAGGAAGGCTGGCAGTTCAAATCCACCAGCCACTTGACAGGAGAAATGAGGAATTCAAAGACCAGACCAGATAGCTTGATTATCCTCCAATAAATAAGGCCATCCCCACTGTGGGGACAGTGACTCCAGTTCTTTCATTTTGTCCAAGAATGTTGTCATTGAGGGAGATTGGATGACAGCCCTTCAATGAGATGATGAAGTTTCTTAGCCTTTGGAATTGCTAAGCTCCCGTCCAATCAGTAATTCACCTCCCTTCCTAGTCCTGGGTGGAAATCCTCTTAACTACAGCTCAGCCTGGCACCTTCCAGAGCCAGACTGTAGGACAGGTGAGATTTGATCCCATGAAGAGTTATATAAGCAAGGCCCCAAACTTCCAAAACTCAACTATGCAAAACAAACTCAGGAAACATGAGTAGAATCTGCTGCGTTGAGGCCTTTCTTGAGCTTTTCCAACAGGATGGGGAAATGCAGGAGAGAAGGAATGTCTCAAAGGCTTTCCGCTGGGAGGGGAGGAGACCCTCAAGAGAGGTTCATGTCTCCCGTCAAAGGACAGAGACACTGGATGAGAACTCTTTCCAGCACAGCTGTTCTCCCATCCCATCCAATTTTTCTTTCAATCCCTAATAGACAAATTTTGTTGCAACACTGAGGAGTGAGGACAAGAACTTCAACTGCACAGTGGACAGGAAACCAGAACTTCACCTCTGACTTCTCTCAGAACAGCAATGCAACCATAACAGGATTCACTTTCAGATCACAGGAAAAGGATCCTTTCCTCAAAGATCTATAGGATGCACAGAGTCTCCTGAGGCCAGGGGACAAATAGTTACTGCCATCAGAGCGTGAATCCTGTTATTAGGTGACATCAAGTTGACATGGACTCAGAGACCCTGCGAACAGATCCGCAGCGTGTCCTATCCTGCACCTACCTCATCTCTGTCAAGTTCAAGTCCATGGTCAAGCCTTCTCACTGGGGGTCCTCTTTCCTTTGGCTCTCTACCTTTGCCTGCATGATGTCTCTCTCCAAGGGCTGCTTCCTCCTGAAAATGAACCCAAGTGGAGGAAATAATTCCAGAAGTGTCCATGGAGGAAGTGCATTTTTGGAAAACAGTCAAAATTTAAGACAGAAAAGTAATCTGAAAAGTAGGAGGATGGGGGTATAGTTTTAGAAGAGATTGCCTGAAGAAACCGTCCTTGTACACCCGGCCCTGAGAACACTCATGTGAGAGCACGCAGAGTTAGTGCTAACTGAAGACTAAGGCGTGGCTGACCCAAACCATTGTGTATGTAAGTGGTGAAAGCTGGACACTAAGAAGGAAGACTGAGGAAGAATTGTATCTCTGAATTGTGACGTTGGCACAGAATCCTGAGTAAACTGCCAGCAGCATGAACAACTCTGAGAAGCTCAGCCAGTATGCATCTCAGAAGTGAGGGTGCTGAGATCTCACTTTACACTTTTGATGTTAGGTGTCCGAGTGGAACAGATGGCACCCTGTGAATGACAGACGTGAGCTGCGCCATGCCCTGTACCGTCCTCACCATTTCGGTACACTTGAACCCGATGTCACAGCCTCTGTGTTAACCCCCCTCCCGGAGGGGCTTCCTATCGCCGCTTTCCCCAGCATGATGTCCCTCTCAAAAGACTGGCCCCTTCTGATGACACGTTATTGTCGTTAAGTGCCGTCGAGTCATAGATGACTCATAGCGACCCTGTGAATGAAAGATCTGAACACTGTTCATAGAGTTTCCGGAGGCAAGTCATTTCAGAAGCGGATGCCACTCCTGATTCCAAGCTTGTTTTAATCGGGAAGCTCCACCAAACACTGTCCACCATGGGTAACCATTATCATATTTCGCACGTCAGTGTCACACTGTTTAGCATCACAGCAATCAAGAGTTACCTCTGTACAGCAATGCACAGACAAGTGCTATACCACCTAGAAGAATGATTGACCAAAACCAATTTAAATCAGGCCTGAGGGTCGTGAATTAAAATCACCCACCTGGGCTTGGTAGCACAACTTTCTCTCCCCTAGGCCAATGTACCTCCCTCTCTGTTGTCATTATTAAGTGCCATCAATTTGTAGACGACTCACAGCAACCCTATGAGCGAAAGGCCTGAACACTGTTCACAGGGTTTCCGGAGGCAAGCCACTTGGAAAGTGGATGCCACTCCTGCTTCCAAGCTTGTTTTAATCCGGGAGCTCCACCAAACACTAGGAGGCACCAATCCTGGAGAAGGATGCCATGTTTGGTGAAGGTCAGCCAAAAAGAGGAAGACCATCACCATGATGGCGTGGCAGTGGCCACAGCGGGGCTCACCATGGCAGCGGCTGTGGGGTGGCACAGGTCCAGGAAGGGGTTCTCTTGTACACAGGGTTGTGGAGTTTGAAATGACCTGTCAGCACCTAACAGCACGTCCTAACCAAGGGGTCTGCTGAGTCAGTGGTCAAATGCGGACTGTTGTGTAATACTGAGTCAAAACCGACCCCTAGCTGACCCTCCTGGATTGTCAGAGGCAGTAAACTGCATGGGAGGAGAGTTCCCTTCTTTCTCCTATAGAGTAGCTGGTGGATTCGAACCATGTGCCTTTGGGATTGCGGCACAGCTTCTTGCCACCAGAGCTCCCTAAATGAGCATTAGGGAAGGCAAGAACTTCCGTTTTCTGAAGCACAATTTCCACTTTCAGAAAGACAGGTCATGAGCTGCCAGTTAATAAAAATTTAAAACTCTAAAAAGGACAATTCCCAGAGCAGCCAAGGCTGCTCTTTGCCACTGGGTCATCTTGCCACGTTGGACCCACAATGGGACAATCACTTTAGCCTGGGCAGTGGAGCAGGGCCAGCTGGCCCCAGGACAAAGCCAGCTTGCAGGGGGAGGTATCCAGGACGAACATCGCCCGCCCCACGGAACACATTCCTTGTGCAGGCTGGCTTCTCTTTAACAGAAAAAACAGCCAGGCTTTCTGGCCCAGTTTCAGGGGAAGCTGAAGATGCCAGGACTCCTGGTCCGGATTAATGAGGCAAAACAAGCAGGTCCACTGGGCGGGCTAGAGGCTGAAGGGCCGGGGCTGCTGAGAGTAATTGTACACCATGTTTCCATCATTATCTGCTCTGTTCAGATTTAGGTCAGTCTAGATTGCAAAGAAAAAGAAACCAAACCAAAAACAAACAGTGCAATCACATTCTATCAGTGTCAACAAAAAGGATGTCTGGAAGATTCCAAGTGGCTGGAGGGGTGTGTGGCAGCAGATGGTACTGCCAGGGACTTCCCTACACGTGGACGTTTAGAAGCAGGTCCCGGGCAGTCACAGCCCACTCCAAGACCTCAGGCTGCAGGCGGCCTGACAGCTGCTGGAGAACCTGGAGACAGATCCCAGAGATGAAGCTGGCAAAGGTCTGGGTGCAGCCTTCCCAGAGGTTTAGACGTGTAAGATCTGGCGGCTGCACTATCCACTCGCACCTCAGGGCTCTTCTCACAGAGCAGGTGGTGGATTTGAATAGCTTCCCACTGGAACTGTGGCGTAGCTTCTTACCACCAGGCCACCAGAGCTCCTCAAGTAACTGGCTAAAAGGTGCCTGGCCTCCGTGGCCTTTGTGTCACCGATGTGGCCAGCAGTGACCGAGCCCAATTCATCCCTTACTAGCTGTCCTTTAGCCGGTACTACCAGGTCACCATCACCTCACAGCTGACCCTCCAGCGGGTGTTCAGAGGCAGTAAACGGCACAGGAAGAGACTGCCCACTCTCCCACGGATCAGCTCTGGGCTTGAACCGTGCACCTTTTGGTCATTAGCACACTTCCTTACCACTGGCCCGCCAACCCTGTCCGTGTGCGGAAATAAGCTGGGACTCTCACACATTCAGGGGAGACAGGAGCTCAGATGAAGAAGAGACTTCACTTACAAAGAAAATCAAAACACGGAGTGGGGGATCATTTTCAATCACATTTATTTCTAAACCAACTTTAAGGGTCCAAATATTAAAGCGCAAAAAAAGAAAACCAAAATAAAATAAATGAGTGCACAAGCAGGTTTGTTCTGCCAATCCTAGTGGCCAAACAGGATTTAGCAGATGTCACATCAGGGATATCCCTGAACTAGAGACAAGCTCAAGACCTTTCTGCTGGTGTCACTGTCTGCTTAGAGGACACCCCTGGAGTCTCACTCAGTGAGCCTCTGGTCTCCCCTATCAAAGCATCTCCTTCCCTAGAGGAAAAGACTAGCAATAAATACTTCCGTCTACTGAATGGTCTAGCATCCCTTACCCTCATCCCCGAAAGTCTTAGAAAAGAGAAAGGTGAAATCAGCTGCTAAGACAACTTAGTGGACAGCAATGCTCGGTGTAAGAATGTTTGTGTTTTGTTCACTGCCACAGCCGTGGGCTTGGAAGAGCCTGCCAGCGGTAACTCACATGGTGATGTGCTGAATGAGGACCACCTTGAACTTCACCTCCACGTCCTACTCCCCCATCTCAGAAATGGATGGCTCTGATCAAGCCCCAGTGACCCCAGCTCAAGGCTGAGGTTGGAAACGAACTCAAACAGGGCTTACAGACGGACGAACTCTGCAGTCTTAGGACTTCTGCACTCGAGCATTCTAACACTACAATCTAGACGAGGACGAGCTACCCACGTTAAACTCTGTGCACAGTCAAGCTCTGGAAAACACCAGTGAGAGGGAGAGCTCCAGGGAGAGGGAGACCAGAGGGAGAGCTCCAGGGAGAGGTATGAGCACCCGTTACACACCGGACGCCACGCGCCCGCACCCAGGCCACGGCCACTCCTGGGAAAGACTATTATTTGGCCGCTCGTTTCACTTTTCCTTGATCTTCCACCTTCTTAATGGCCGCCTGGATGGCCTCCTGGTTGCCCAGGAACTGGTGGGGCCCAACGGCATGCAGGTTTTCATCCAGTTCCAGGAGGATGGGGACTCCAGTGGGGAGAGTGATGTTGATGATGTCTTCATCCGAGATACCTGGGGTCAGGAGAGGAAGGGACAGGTGTTAATGACAATGCCCAGGGGCAGCTCAGTGTGGCTGCTGAACTTGGTCATTCACTTAGTCTCACCCTTCCTTGGTATCTGAACAGAGCAAGGAGCAGTGAGGGATTCCAGCTTGAGTTCCTGGGAGCCAAGAACGTCCTAGAGATTTTAAAATCCTGGACAGAGTCACAGCACCAAGTTCTACACCTGAGGGCAGTTATCTTTGCAGGCAAGCTGGCTGTTTCTTGTCCATGAAATTACTCAACTTGATGGCACCTAACAACAACACGCCCACATTCATGTTACTCATTTCCCACAGGTATCATTTCACCTTGAAATACCTAAATGCAAACCCCAAAGAGTTGTTCCTGGTTTTCTGGGGGGTTTTTCGTTTGTTTTTTTTTTTTCTTTTCTTTTCTTTTTTTTTCATGAAGCCCCCAGGCTGGTGATTAACACTAGGACTTTCCCTGTTCTCTGAATCTGCCTCATCTGATTAGGATTGTGTTCAGTTTTCCAACATTCAAAACTCAAATTCACTGCCACCGAGTGGGAACTGACTCACAGCTGACCCCAGTGGGCTTCTGAGGGGGTAAAATGTGAAGAATGAATGAATGAAAATCTAACTTCTCTGTAAATATTTGTTAAATTCACAATTAAGATAAAATTTTATTTAAAAAAAAAAAAAAAGAGATTGTCCATTTTTCTCCCTAACAGCTGCTGGTGAGTTCGAACCACCAGAGAGGTAAGGACCCTGGATAAGCAGGTCAATTCTCTTCAGACTATGCCATCAGAGCGCCCCAGGCTAACTGCAGCCAAACAAGAGTGATCCTGGGACAATGCAGATGCAACAGCTAGAGGGGCCCAGGAAAGAAAAGGGACCTTGTAAACTGACCCCGTCCACCTGATGGCCACCCCAACCACCAGGAGAGGGAGCAAAGGTGTGTGATTAACAAATCAACCGGTGCACTTGGTAATCTAAAGTTCCTTGGTCACTTTTCTGAGCCTAAACAGGAAATTCTAGGAAAGAACCACCGTAATTTATCTTTGACCATGAGAGTTGGTGCTTTAGTCAACACAGTGCCTGTGCAGCAATACTACTACTACCACTACCACCACCACCACCACCACCACCACCACCACGACCCTGATTAAAGAAACGGTGACTGTGTTGCGTGTAGCCTATTGGGCTGCTAACTGAAAGGTCAGTAGTTCAAATCCACCAGTTGCTGTGTAAGAGAAAAAAAAAAAGTGCCGTCTCCTCTCACAAAGACTAGGAAAGCTGACAGCGGGTCTATGAGTAGGAATCGACTCGACAGTTACGATAGTTATGCTAATTATTTCTTATTACTGACTCCGATCAACAACAAAGAGCTGAGTGCCTCCAGCCCGCCACCGTATTCTTCTAGGTGTGCTGTGTGTAACTCATTAAATCACCATGGAGCCCTGTGAAGGCAGAGTTCTGACAAGTTCACGCACGGCCTGGACTGAACCCAGACGCCCCCACGCATTTCATACTGGGACTGCGCTCATGCACCTCTGGGTTCACAAGCAGGGACGAAGTGGGTGGAAAGACACAGAACTGAGTAAACACACAGGTCACTCAAGGCACCGCCCACTATAAAAACACGCCTTTACCACACGGGCCTCTGAATTCTAGCCACACGCTTCTGCCAGACGTGGACGGATGGACTCAAGTCAAGCGGTTCAATGGGTTCTGAAGAGTCCAAGAGTTCATCTTGACTTGGGGATGGGGTGGTGGTGGTGGTGACAGAATAAATTAGCACTGGTTAGTTATCAATGAACTTTGTCATTTTAATTAGTCACTGGTCACACCATCAGCTCCAGCCAGGAGCCACAGGTCACAGCACTGGACCCCTAATGTCTCTGTGGTTCTTCACTGGAATTTCCTGTGTAGGCCCAGAAAAGTGACAAAGAGCATTGGATTACAAAGTCACCATCCCCACAGGACCGTGCAACAAGCAGGAGGCCTATCTCGGATGTGTGTGTCTCCCTTAGGTCCACGGCCCATCGTCTGCCACAGCCCCTAACTGTGGACAGGGCCCCTCACTGGACCTTCATTCCCAACACCTTGTTATAAAAAAGAAACACAAGCTCTCCAACCCAGCACTCTCAGGGTGTGGGCTCGGGAGCATCCGGGGGAACAGCATGCAGCAGACGAGTACGTCATTTCTCCCTTCCAGGCAGAAAACACTCCCTATTGTTACAGTCGTACCTTTCGGTTCTAGGCGAGCCACTCAGCCCCTGCCACATCCCCACTCTCTATCCCTGTGATCTCATTCACAAGTGTTACTGCCTTGAACTCAAGTCAGCAAGACAGACAGGCTCAGACAGACAGCCGCTGCTGAGCTGCGAATGAACGGGTGCCCTGGATTCTGAGAGCCTCAGGCTCCCCACGCCAGCCTGTCAGCAGGCTGCTGCTGGACCCACAGCCTTCCCTTGGAGACAGAAGGAAGGAGGGCCAGCTGCATGTGGAGCGGAGCCACGTGACCCCCAAATCTGGAGCGTACTCCTGAGGTCCCAGGTCCACCTCACCAACCAGCCAATAAGCAAGGCTCTATGAGCAGCACTGTGGGAAGGACACTTACGACTTGAACATGACTCGACCTCAGCTGAACTATATTGCATCACTTATAAAGTGAAGATCAAAAATCTCTTCCAGCTCCCGCGTTCCTCTGCTGTGTCCACACAGGAGTCGAAGCCCCTCAGGGGCATAAGACACGCTCACCTCCTGTCCAAGGACTTGGGATGGAAACTATCCTCCGCATGTCCACATCCACATTACCGGTTTTCCACAGGAATTACTGAACCCCAGGAGCCTTCCCTTATTTTCTTGTTTTCATTCTTCCTCACATGGTGTCCCTAGGCTAGTCCTAGCATTAGGACTTCTCAGGAATATGTCCCAGATTTTACATCTTTTTTTTTCTTTCAGATTTTGCATCTTTAGAGTTTACAGACATACTTGTTCACTGAAGGGTAAGAAAGATGAATTTTACAGTTTTCTCCAGTAAGTCTAAATTTCACTGCAGAAATCAATGCTAGAAAGCAATGATTTAGCAAAAATAACCATGTTTGGGTTCCAGTTTGCCAAGAGAGGCAGAACCTATGAGCTCCTATCTATCAGCATCTGAGACTCACCACTTAGTGCTGTGTGCCTTCACAGAACCCCGACCCCTAACTCATGGTCACAAAGGGCCCAGGACTCAGGGCACCGTTTAAAAAGAACTAGACAGCGCCCTTAAAGTTAGGACCTTGGCAAGGATGGCCTCTCTAACACCTTTATTCTACACTACATGAGGTACGAACTCAGGAAAGGAGACAAGAAGATGAAATAAAGGCATAAGGACTGGAAAGGGAGAAGTAAAACCCCTTCTACTGACAGTTGACATGACCTCTGTCAGGGATGCCTTGTGCCCCCACCTCTCTCCCTTGACATCTGCATCATAGTGGTTCTTGGGACTCCAGTGGTTTGGCATTTATGTACTGATGTAATACAGCAGTTATGCAATGAAACAATCATCCCCTTGACTGACATAATCAGCCCATCAGCTGTAATGGGATTGGGGGAATGGAACACCTTATGTGATGAAGGGGAGCCCTCAGGGGGTGTGGCCTGCATCTCCTTTTGTCTTACAAGAGATAAAAGGGGAGAGATTTGAGCAGAGAGAAGGAGGGACCTCAGTGCCACCAAGGAACAAGAACCAGTTGAGAACCGAGGTCCCTGTGATGACAGCCTCACAGGTTCCGGGCAGGACTGATGCCAGGACACAAGGAGACCACCAAGCAATGCCAGGCCCACGGACGCTGGCAGGGTCAAAAACCCTCCCTCAGAGACAGACAAAGCCTTCCCATCACTGAGCTCCCTGACTTCAAACTCCGAGCCTCCTCCTAAATTGTGAAGGAATACATGCCTGTTAAAGCCATTCACTGGAGTCATTTCTGTTACAGCAGCAATAAACCAGTAAGACAGTCCTGGATCGAGATAATCCTCAGAAATACACCAGAAAGCCATTAGAGTAAGTAAGTCCAATGAAGCTGCAGTGAATAATAAAATCAATACACAAAAATTAATTCTATATCTCAGATGCAATAAGCAGATGGAAATGGAATTATAAAAATAATTTCATTTAAAATAGCACCAAGAATACTAAGTAATAAAGTTAAGCAAATTAAGTGCAAAACTTGTCTTCTGATAATATTAAACATGAGCTAGAAGAAAAGAAAGACCTTAATAAATGGGAAAACACCCTACTTTAAATAAAATGGAAAAACACCTTTCTTTCAAGGGAAGGAAGACACCGGTAGATGGTAGTGTTCCCCAAGTTTATCTACAGAGCTGAAATCTCAGAAGTTACAAAAATTGGCAAGCTGACCTTAAAATCACATGGTCTCATACAATACTTTTGCTTTGGGAGTTAATTTTGCATTGTCTAGCATTCAACTCTGTGTACACAGCATACTCTGAAACTACTGCTATAGAGAGTCAAGAAAAGGTTAACACACAGAAAATGAACTTTTCTGGAAGGTTACCATAGGTGGGTTTGGAAGCAGGAGTGGTATCCACTTCTGAAACAACATGCCTCTGGAAACTATGAATTTTGAGAAATTATGATAGTTATAGAAAGGCTTCAGGTGTTCTGTTCATAGGGTCGCTATGAGTCGAGTCGACTCGACAACAATCAGCAACCACTACCACCACATATGGGAGGGAAAGAAATGTTCAACCACTAACCAGAGGTTAGATCTATGTTAAACTGGGTGAAGAAAGAGACAACACACAAAGGGTACAAGTCACAAAATAATGAAGACAAAAGAGGCACTGGGCTAAGGGCAAGAGAGGTGCAGCAGTAACCAAAAAAAGGGGTGCAGGAGTAGCAAAGAAAGAAGATTGCAGGAGAAACAAAGAAAGAAGATTGCAGGAGTTACAAAGAGGGGTGCAGGAGTCACAAAGAAAGAGGGGTGCAGGAGTAACAAGG